ACTTCCAGGGATGGTGACTCAACCACTTCCCTGGGCAGCCTGTTCCAATGTTTAACCACTCTTTCAGTAAAGACATTTTTCCTCACGTCCAATAAAAACCTCCCCTGGCACAACTTGAGGCCATTTCCTCTCGTCCTATCACTTGACTTGGGAGAAGAGACTGACACCCACCTCGCTACAACCTCCTCTCAGGGAGTTGTAGAGAGTGATGAGGTCTCCCCTGAGCCTCCTTTTCTCCAGGCTAAACAACCCCAGTTCCCTCAGCTGCTCCTCATAAGACTTGTTCTCCAATCTGCAGTCACTGCAGACATGCCAGTGATTCACATACTGTGTGGGCCAGGCCAGGCTGTGTGCTATGGGAGATGCATAAAGTTATAAAGAATTCGGTGAGGTAGATAAAGTGTTTAACATGGACATATAACTTTGCTGCTGGTCAGAGAGAACACTTTCTTTAGTAGAACAGCATTACATTCATGATAACACAAAGGTTCAGAGAAGGAGATGATCTCTCATACCTTCGTGTCCCTTTACCTTTTACTCATTGCTCCTGCCATGACTATTTTTAGTGCTCTAAAACACTAAAAAGCACATATTACTGGTTTCAACAGTAATCTTGCCTCCAACTTTGGATGCCTAACATTAGAGCTGCTCAGTTTAAAATGCCTTAGTTTTAAAGTTCTGGCTTATAGTCGGCTCACGGAAAGCCGTTCAACTGTGCATTAAACACACAATAGTGGTAGTAGTAGTAGTAGTAGTAATAATAATAACAATAATAATAATATGAAAGCACCCTTTAGTCAGAGAAAACCTGTTATTAAGTATGTGCTAGTGTTGATGCAAAAATCTTCTGGTCTATCCCCAGCAAAAAAAGGAGTGAAAAAATTAACATAACAAATTACCCATCCCTAGTATGGAAGCAAATTAAACTCTGCAGAGCTATGCATAGGTAATTACAGCAGTGCCTAATCAGATAGTTGCTTTCAGTACACGAGTGACACGTATGTATGGGAGAGGAAGCGGTGGCAATGTCCCAAGGGAAGAATCAAAACGAAAAGGCAGGACCTCTGTGGGAAAAAGACACTATTATTTCAAAGAGAAAAACACTTGCTATAGAATGTGCTGGCCTCTCTTTCTGCACATTGTGCAACAAATGCTAACTGGGGGTTGTAAAAGTGGCTGCTTAGTCTAGGTACCTTTGGTTTGGGGTCCCACAGTAAAAGTGTATAGGAAGCCTCATGGTTTGGGATTCAAAAAGCAATGGAACAAGTTGGTAGAATAAAAATCAACAAAATACTATTAATTACCAAGAAAATAGCTTTAGCTCAGGATGGTCCTGAACTATACATTGTTGCAGGCCGAGAGAGAGTGCTACTGACTCACACCATTACTGTTTCTAAGGATCCTTTTCTGGCCACTGTTGGTTTGAGCTTTTTTTATTTTCTTGTCTATATAGAGCTCTATCTGCAGTCCAGGGCAGTAAGATACAGAGTCAGCTTGCACAGAAGTTGGAAGGAAAGTGTTCAGGTCATGTGATTTCTGTAACATGTTTGTTCTTCATAAATTGTCTCCCGCACCTTGTCACCTCCCTGTGTCACTGTGGTGTCCAGTTGGTACAAATGTGCTGGGCTGGATTCCACTCAGTACCAGGCTTGGCACAAGTCCTGCAAAGGACACTTAGCCTCCCCCAGGTCCCGGCTGAAGATTGGCTTCACTGCCACATCCTTTACGAGCCCCAGACAGTGTCATTTTGCAACAGCCTTGGCCCCCATATTGACCTAGATGGATCTTTGGTCTTACTCACTATGGCCTAGTTGTTTTGTATTGCCTTATGCTACATGAAATGGATACCACAATACCCAGAATCCTTTCAAAAGCCTGTCCTAATCACTTCCCTTTTTTCCAAAACAGCCTGTGAGCGTAAGAATGCAGAGGCCGCAAGACTCCTGGTACAGTACAATGCTGATACCAACCATCGTTGCAATCGAGGATGGACTGCTCTCCATGAGGCTGTCTCCCGAAATGACCTGGAAATTATTGATATCCTTGTGAAAGGGGGTGCCAAGATTGAGTCTGCAAACGCCTATGGGATCACTTCTTTATTTGTGGCAGCTGAGAGTGGGCAGTTGGAAGCTTTGAGATACCTGGCAAAATGTGGTGAGTACAGTTGTGCCGTTACATGCCTTTACTCATTTCATTCTTAATATTTCAAAGTTTCCATTAATTCTCCCTGGCTCAGTTTTTCTGTCTCTGAAGACAAGGCCTAGCCTGCAGAGGTGCTGAAACCCTGTTGCTCCAGATGGCTGAATTGTGTAGGGTCTCTCAGAGAGCATGGTCTAGACACATGTGCTCCTTCAGCACTCATTCATGGTAACCTACTTTGGGAAATAATATGGTGCTCTCTAATTGCATTGCCTGACAGTTTTCAAAACCCGTATTGCTGCACACATGTAGCCTAAATTCCAATCAGTCATAAAAGACAACTGTAGGTGGTAATAGATGGCAGAAGTTGAACATTAGCCAACCCCATCTGCTCATGAACATGTGCAGTGATGGGCAAGGTTAGCTCTCCTCCACTAATGAATTCTGCTGAAAATAGATAAAGTACTATTGTATAGTTAACAGATTTATACCAAGGAGAAGCAGACTCACTCTCCCCCATGTGTATGTGCTCAAATATATAAACAGAGTGAATTTGATTCTAGTTTACACTAAACTTACCTTTTACTGCTCCACTCGTGTAAAACAGCTTTACAATAAGCACAACATATTTTACTGCTATTCGGAGCCATATTTTATTTTCACTGTGGGATAATATCTTCAATGTAAATAAGAACTGGGTCCTGCACTTGTGAAACAAGAACTAAAGAGCAATGAAGGTAAGAAAAACTTCTGAAGCCCATAGTATGGCTAAGAAAGATATGAGAGTTGGGGAACAAAAAATGTGTTCTGCTGTCCAGCTAGCATTGTCAAGTCAGTTTTATATGACCAGTTAGTCCATCACACTGCCTGCAATTTTAGAAACTAAGCCAGAATGTGATTTGTGTTTCAACTTTGATAGATATTAGGATTTCCTTAAAGTTCAATTTTGAAAAAAATACACAGGAGAAAATCCAATAAAACTGTTCAATTGTTTCAAGTCCTGAAAAGCTACTCTGAGAATCCCAGGAATGATACCACTGCATTGTTTATGATGGGCAATGTTATCATGAAAGGGTTTCTTTTTCATTTCTTTTTCATTAGGAACGTAGTCCTGTGTTATGTTTTGTCACTGCTATTCTCCTGATGTTTCCAGCTACAACATCTTCAAAGGGCCAAACACAACACAGATGTTGCAGTTTGGGGTGAAAGCACAGGGAAATGTTCTCTTTGGCAGGGAGTTTTCACGATCAAATGGGAGACTGATTGGCTTCTTTATTGGAGTTTAGAAGCAAAACTCCAGTGAACTGTCATTCCCATTTAGGATATACATAGAGCAGCCTTCCTGAGGACACCATGGTACAGTATATTACAGTTGAAACCCAGGCTTTCAGGCCTTAAATATCTAGCAAAGAAAAAGCTAGATTCCACACTGTTTGTGGCCAAAAAGTATTAGGTCTTGGTTTATTCTTGCATGTTGTTTATTAAGCCACGCACACACTAGAGCTCAAGAAAAAAATCCCCCAAATAATCTAGTAGCTCATTAATAATATTTATCTTTTTTTTTGTAAAACTTACCAGTTGGATCCTAACTTGAACCCTCGTGAAATGAAGAGATATGGCCTCAGGTGCTGAGTTTTGAAAGGAAATGTTCATTGACTAAGGCATGCCCAAATAAAAGCTGATTAGAATTGTTGCTTGGTACTATGCAGATGTCATGTTATAGGGTCCTATTTTAGCCTGGATACGTACTAAAATTAAAATATAGTATAAGTGTGTTTAAAGTATGAATATATAGAGTATAAATAATATGTATAAGTATAAATAAATATGTATCATAAATACATAATCATAGAATTTTGGAGAGCACCTGGTCCAAACTCCTCCTCAAGAATAGTGTATATACATAATGTAAACACATACATACTAATGGAATTATTGTGTCCAAAGAAAAGGCCATTCTATATAAAGAACAGCACATTTTAAAGTTTTTGCCTTTGAGATACAGCTGAATGGAGCCTGGATTCAGGACTGGCAGCTAATGGCTGCCACCCATGTTAAACTCTCCTTCATAAAATTCAGATCATAGTAAAAAACAGTGGAGATCTATGATATAACTGTATATAACTGATATGACTGTATCACCTTTTCATTTTGCTCTGATATGACCTCATTCACATCCCCTTCCAGCACATTTTGTAGCTCCAGTGTCATGGAGACGTATGTGTTCATTCAAAGTATGCTGCTTCCATCTGATTTTAACCTTTTGGTGCTACAAATATTTTTTTCCCTTCCTAGGTGCTGATATAAATACTCAAGCCAGTGATAACGCCTCTGCTCTTTATGAAGCCTGTAAAAATGGACACATACCTATTGTGGAGTTTCTTTTATCCCAAGGTGCAGATGCTAACAAAGCCAATAAGGATGGCCTGTTACCTCTTCATATAGCAGCCAAAAAAGGGATTTGCGAGTAAGTTTTAGTTCATTTCATAGTTTCATCTTCTGAACGAGACTCCAAAGTCCTTATGAAATGGAAAATGTAATGTCCCAGATCTAATTCTGAGCATTACGAGCAACGGAGCTGCTGGTTGATAACTGGGCTTTCTGCTTGCAGAGCTCAGGTTGGAAATTATAAACTGAAGAGTGTGTTTGCAGGTTGGGATGGGATGGGTTGGGACAGAGCAGGAATGTGGCGGTGCAAGATCCCTTTAGCTTTGCCAAGATATCACCTATTACAGCTAATTAACCTCAAGTATCTTGGAAGTGGCTTAAACTGAGCTCCACAAAATATGCTTGAGATGAATAAAAAAGGCAGAAAGGGGGGGAGGGGGGGGGGGGGGAGGGGGGGTTAGTCCTCAACAGCTATTGCAGCATAGTTTGCAATCATTTTCCTACATGAGCCCATTGTGATGCTTCTGCAAAAGCAGAACATGCTGCATTCATCTCTGGTGTATTCAGGTTTTATTAACAATAATTCAGATGCTGACAGCAGGAAGTGGTTAAATGAATCTCTGGGACATTAGTGAGATTGTTGCTAGAATATGGTGTCCAGTTCCGGTATCCTCCCTTTCAGAAACCTTTCAGGAAATTGGAAAAGCTTCAGAAAAGAAGTACAAGAATTACTCATGGTCTGGAAAATATACTTTATTAGTGAGTGATTAAATGACTCTTAAATGTAACAGACAAATGCATAAAATGATCCAGTGGTTTGTTTCTGAAATGAAATGTGTTTGGGATAGAGCTGAGCACATTCTCTAAACAGTGAGAAAAGTAACTAATGGAAAAAATAACCAGGAATTGGGTAGATTTACCAGTCCTCTGAAGTAGAGGTGTTTATAGGAGGAAGAGAAACTCTACAGCCTGTGATAAAGAATATCAGTTTAGAAGATGCTGTCTAGGGATGGGATTGTTGCACTGTCATGTAAATAGTGTTTACCTAGCTCTTTCAAGACCTGGAACATTGCAGCATCCTTCTGAGCCTGAACTCCTTAGCATTTACTTCTAACCCTAGAGCAAGTTTTAGCTCCTGCCTTTAACCCCTTGCTGCTGGAAGGGTGAGTGTCCCACAGCTATTTTTGCAAAACACAGTCATATCTTGCAGTGACAGACCCTTTTGGTGACTGTAGCGGACCCTTCTGACTGTCACAGTTTCTATCAAAATCCTTTCAGCAATAGTCAAAGGATAGAGTATGACCAACTGCAAAGCCTGTTTCTGGATAGTAAAGCTATCTTTGCAAACAACTGCTAGAGCGGATTCTTAAATATTTCACAATGTCTGAGGAATGAAAACTTTTGACAGCACTACACCTTCCCATAGCATCTTTTATCCTAGCATTTAGGTCTGCTTGGGAATCCCAATTAAGCTTCTCAAATCACTTTGATAGACCTGAGGATATTAATTTTCTGTAGTTGGAGTAGGCCTGCTTCTTTGTGCAAGCTGTGTATTCTAGAGGGCAGCCCAGTGTTAATTTATGTAATGGGTTTATACACTTACAGCATGTACATGAATACCCTGCACAGACTAATGCAGGCATGATTCAAAATTTTCTCTGGAGTTTGAGTTACAAAGACATTTTCTTGAAAACAAACACATTTTAGATGAGAAATGTGCCAGAGACAGAACCCAGTTCCAGTTGCTCACTTTCAAAAAAGTTAGTCTGAAAGTACAGTAAGTTGGTCTGAATCCAATTTGTATATAGAGTCTGGACCACCTTGCTGAATCTTTTCCTCCCCTCTATAGTTCCACAACCTGACCTGAAAAGAAATTTACATGGAAACTCTGCAACCTGAGTCCATCCCCATGTTATGGAAGAAAAGGCCTGATTCAGATCTCACATCTATTATTCCCAACAACCAGCAGCATAAATGAGACCAGAATTCAGCCCCAACTGAGTTCCTTCACTTGTAAAAGACTGAGCACAAATTTTTGTGCACAACTGCTGCAAACTAAGTGCAGAAGAAAGAAAAAGATCTTTTCTTATAAATATTTATCTAAATGGCAAAGCTTTAGCCCAATTGGCTGATCATTCTTAATTCCTTTGGTATTCAGTAAAATAACACCCTTCACGGTGACCTCTCTTTGTATTCCTGTAGATTTAATACGTAATTCTGCAGGAATTCCACACTTCAACTTTTTGCCAGAGCACGAAGGCTCCCTACCATCAAAAAGCCAAGAATGTGGTCCCAAGGCTCAACTGTCAACTCTTATTGCTTGGTGTTTGTTTATTTTAAATGACACCTTGTCAATACTGACCTGAAATTCATAAGGGTCATCTCATCAGCTGTAGCACAATCGCAAGCAGTCATTTAACTCCTTCCCCCTCGGAACTGAGATGCTGAGAAGGGAAGACTTTGTGAAGTGTGGGCAGATTTATTAAGCAAATGCAAGTCAATAAACTCTTGGCACACTCATACTAAGGATGCTTTGCCTCCTCCTCCATATAATTTCTAACAAATAGAAATCGCAGAAACAGGTGTCAGGGATGAGGGCAAACTTAGCACTATTTCGAAACTGTACATGAAGCTCAGCCCTGTGATAGACGTGGGATGTGGTCTGGCTTGTCTGGCCTTGGCTGCCTTCACTTGAGCTGCCTTCTCCCTCTAGACAGACAGGAAAGACTGCAGAGGTGGAGGCACCATATTACTGAACCAACCCACTTTGAAGGATGAGGAAGAGAGACTGGTTCAAGCTACAAAATTAAACTCTGATACAAATGTGATCCTTCCTGCTTTTCCTCCCAAAATAAATCTGGGGTACAGGGAATGTACTGAGGTCTGCGACATTGCAGCATTTGGATGCAGAGCCTCAGTGTAGCAGCCCTGCGGCGAAGTTCAGGTCCCCCTTGCAGACAGAAATGACGCAATGCCTCTTTAACTCAGATGTGAAGAGCTGGCTGAAGCGCATATGCTGGAGGGAAAGAACAAAACAGACCCTTAAATCTTCAAAACAGTTGATCATGGGATGACTAATACTGGTACTTGGCATGGTGTCCTCACAGTGCTCTGTGCCCTTTTTGTTATTATGGCTCTTACAGAACATTTGCTAATAGTGGGAAGTTGCCAGCTCACCAGCACCCAAACCTCCTGCTCCCTGGTGAGCATCACAGCACTGGAAGATTAGTGAGGCTGCTTGGAGAACCTCCCCCCTGTGCTTAATTTCCAAATATATTTACATACTTTAAAAAGCCTTTTTGTTTAAAAATGAGATGCAGAAGTAACTTGGAGACATCAACAGCCCATCATGTAAATAGGAACATAATCCTGTAAAGTGTTATGCATCTTCAACTCTTATTTCAGCTCCTGGGAGCGTTGGAGGCTCAGTCTTTCACAGGATCATTCAGTGCATCACAGACAAAGGTTTTCCTGAGACTAGCGCTTATATTTGGCTTAGTTCATTATGTAAATGTATGTTTGAGGGCCCAGTGTTGGGACCAGCCATTGCAGTCAAGCTGAAGATATGCAGCATTTTAAAGGCGGCATGCTACATGGTAGAAAACTGAGCATGTTTGTGTGTTAGAAGAGCTGTTTGCTAGATAGAATCATAGAATCATAGAATCATAGAATCATTGAGGTTGGAAAAGACCTCTAAGATCATCGAGTCCAACCGTCAACCCAACACCACCACCCATTAAGGTCCGTCCCTAAGTGCCTCATCTACACGTCTTTTAAATACCTCCAGGGATGGGGAACCACTTCCCTGGGCAGCCTCTTCCAATGTTTAACCACTCTTTCAGTAAAGAAATTTTTCCTCACATCCAATCTAAACCTCCCCGGGCGCAACTTGAGGCCATTTCCTCTCGTCCTATCGCTAGGAGGATATAGAGGAGCCTGCATGGGAGGAAGATGAGGAAGAGAAGGTGTGCTTAGCTTGCTGGCTCCCACAAGTTCCTTTTTAGATATCCCTCTCTCCACAGGCATTATATAGGGAGCATCTCCTGAGACAGTAGGCAGGCTCAGCTTGGATGGTCCCTAGTCTCTTTCTGGAAGTAGCTTAAGGTGATTTGGCTGTATTTACAGAATCAACCTAGTGCCTTGGCTAAACCACCCAACTTTATGATCCGGAAATGAGGGTTTAACCCATGGAGCTAGTCATGCAGCTCCAATGACACCTATGGAGACATAAAAATTATCATAGACTGCGGGGTTCCTGTACATCATATATTTGAACTTCACATTACATAACGAGAGTAGCTTGATTTATGTTGCTGTGTTTAAGGCCACATCACACTTTCCAATAGCAATCCCTGATTACTGGGGTTTAGGACTTGGCTGTACATTTTTTCTCCCCGGGCTAAAGCATGGAAACCAGCCTGGAAAATATTTTTATTTCTTTTTCTCCCCTTTCCTAATTGTCTTTTTGGCTCCCCATGATCTGGAATGGACGTTGATAGCCCCATGGATTTGCCACAGCCAAAAGCCACACAGTGCAGGCCTCCAGGACAGGGATCAATCCAGGGTAATAATTTGAAACCAAATATGTAGTTTATCCTAGCTCAGTCCTGCAGAGGAAGGTTTGGTTTCACCTTCTGTCTGGTCTCAAGCCTCTTGCTGTGGCTGTGACCCAGGAGGCCTTGTGTTGGTGCCCTTCTCTGCTGAGCAATAAAGCAATCCCGATGGAGGTGGGGAGATACAGCCTCTCTGCTGGCACCTCAGGCTGGAGGCCGTGTGCCTGTTCCTACAGTCCTACCCACAGCGCAATGATGAAGGTGCAGAATGTCTGGGAGATCCTGGCTGGTTGTCTGCCATTTGGGCTGTGGCACCTAAGAGAGTTACAACAGGGTAGGTGAGGTGCCAGTATGTCGTCTCTTCCATCGTAACTGCCCCTGTAGCTGCCATTACCTCATAGAAACTGAGTGATAATTTCAAAAAAACTTGTTCCTCCGTGAAAGAGGGGGTCACGCAACTCACATTTTTGGCAAGGTAGGAGCACAGGGAGTTGTTGACAGGTTTCAAGTTCACACCCTGGTTTCTCTCAAAGAGAGTTGTTCCTGTGCCCAAGTTAGCAGGCTCTCTCTTATGGTTGCAACCATACAGCTACAATTTGCTGTAGGGTTGTAGATCCCCTAGATCCCCTAGAGCTCACTGCCGTTCACTGACTCTCCACCCGGCAGGATTGTCTCCATGCTGATCCCTGTGACCAGCCGCACCCGCGTCAAGCGCAGCGGCATCAGCCCCCTGCACTTAGCGGCCGAACGCAACAATGATGACATCTTGGAAGAGCTGATCGATGCTGGCTACGATGTCAACACCGCCCTCTCCACTGAACGGTCCTGCCTTTATGAGGACAGACGCACCACCCCCCTCTATTTTGCTGTTTTTAACAACAACATCTACGCCACGGAACTCCTGCTGCAAGCAGGAGCCAACCCCAATGTTGACCTCATCAACCCATTACTCATCTCCATCCGCCACGGCTGCCTGAAGACCATGAAACTGCTCCTTGACCATGGAGCAAACATTGATGCCTATATATCAAGCCATCCCACCGCATTTCCAGCTACCATCATGTTTTCAATGAAGTACCTTTCCGTGCTGAAGTACGTCCTCGATCTGGGCTGTGATGCAGGTTCCTGTTTTGAGTGTCAGTATGGAAATGGCCCACACCCTGCATTGAATTACAGACGGGACGGACTTAATGATCCTCAGCTGTCCAAGGAGCCAACTGTAGTACAGGTAAGCACTGCCTAGTCTACCTACAGTACTTCTGAGGACGTCTCCTACCCATGTATCTTGACAACTTTAATGTATTTTTCTCCCAACTTTCCTGTGAGAGAAGATGCCTTTATTCCTACTTTATTTATGGGAAAAAAGTCTCAGTAAGAGTCTGTGAATGTTCCAAGTCCATGTTCAATGACAGCAGGAGGGTAGGCAACAGCCGCTGTGGCTCTAGCTTGAATTTGCAGTGAATTATAGCCATCTTGACAGCCTTGCTGTCAGATCTACAGTATTCTTTTCCTCTGGACCTGAGGTGCCAGGAGTGAAGCATGTTTTCTTGACAGGCAGTGTCATATGGGCAGTAGCATATGGGTGGTAGCATATGGGCAGTAGAAACCTGCTTGTTTTATTTGCCCTGTAAGATTTCTTTTGTCTGATAGGGAATTTAAGCTCCCGGTTAAATTAAAATTGTCTAGTGCTTCACTTTATGAGGGTAAGCTAATGAATGTAAACAGTTGCAATTTCCGAGTCTACTGGATAAGCAGCCCTGGAGAGGGGCTTCAACATGCAAGACAACAAAGAAATCTCAGCACAGCAGTCTTTCTGTTTTGCAAAGAATCAGGGAAGAAATAAATCAGCTTCTATCCAGTTTAAGTGTAGCTTTGAGGGATTCAGAAGAAAGTGTCATTTAGCCCAAAGAGATGGTCACCAATAAATGCTCCTTGGTGGTGGAAAGAATAAAGGAAAACATTAAAAGATCCTAGGAAATCTTGACCTTTTCATCAGTCCTGTCTTCCAAAAGACTTTACTCTCCAGTAACATGTCTGGAAAACAAACAAACAAAAAGAAATCTTAGAAAGAGGATTGTAAGAGTCCATCAAAATAATCTCTTATCTCAAACAGAGCTGTCTTCTTCTTGAAAATGTTTGTCACAGCAAAATTGCTCCAAGACACCACATTTTTGTCAAAGAAAAATTAATAAAATATATCATCTCTAGTTCTTGAACCATGATATGGTAGCATGTAGAGTGAACAGAGGGCTGGAATTCCAAGGCAAGGAGAGAGGGTTTGTCTGTAGCCCTCTGATATTCTAGCCACTCAAAAGCAGTTCTGTTTTTACTTATTTAAGCACATTATTTCCCTCTGGATCTCACCTAAAACTACTTTTAGTGCCTAACAAAATATTAGGTCACTCACAGAGTCATCACCTCAAAGGTCAGACCACATGAGGCAGAGGTAGCAAAAGCTGTGTAAAATTATATCTCTGCCTAGAGAGAGACCGGTGAGGGACAAATGCATACAGAGAAAAAGCAATCTCTTCCCTCCGATATTATTTTAAATTTGCTTCTTACTGCTGGGAATTTGGCTAATAAAAGTAAGGCTTGTATGGTGCAGCTTCATGATATAGTTGTGATATGGTTTGTATTCTGAAACATAGAGGATCTTATGAAACTATAGCCTTCTCCATACAAAAGATGTGCATTTTTTATTTTCTTGTATAAGATTACATAAGGATAATAAATCTGAATGATTAGTCTTTATACAGTAAAGACTATGAGCTACTGGAAGTGGATTTGAAAAATGCATAACCATAAATCATTACTGTTGCTACTAAATTAATGTGTCCTGGAGAAAGTGAATGCAGAAAAATGGTTACTGTCTCACTCCACATTTCCAGAATTGCAGTGTCAAAACTGTGAACGTGGGGAGTGAAGTATCCTACTGCCGCGAGAGGGCATTCAGGGCCCTACCGAGACTGCAGGCAAAGTATGTCCCAGGCCCAGAGTCACTTTGTCCCTGAGTCAATACCATTGCCTGTAGTTGCAGGTTTGCATTATTTTTGCTTCATTTTGCTGTGCTTCTTTTCCTGCAACATGCTTTGGAACATTTTTATTCCAGAAAACGTTTTTGTAGGCTGAGCTTGTGAATAGCAAAGAGAGAAAAAGGCAGGCAAGGTCTCTGGCAGAGACAAGGAAAGGAGAGCAGCAAGATCCAGTGTTTTATTGCCCTACACATGTGTCCTCATTTAAACTCTGACAAAGTGGCATTACTGCTTGGAGGTGGTAGCGCAGATCCCTGGTTTGCATGTCCTATGGGTAACTGCATGGCAATTGCATATGCACTGGAGAATGACAGCCAGACATACTAAACTGAACTTCCTATAAGCTGTCCAGGTAGGAAACTGTGGGTTGTCTGCTGGGATCCTCCCAACATTACTGTATCTAATTTTCCTGGGAAATACTACATGGTCAAGCTCAGTGAAAAAAATGTCAGAAGAGTAGTAAACACCTCTGTGAATGCTCTCACCTTGAATAAAATGGCCTTACAATTTTCTGCAGCTTTATTCTTTCCTAGGTGAGCTAATATAATTTTATTTCTGAATAAGAGTATCCACACAAGAGTTTAATGTATTTTGAGTTAGGCCTCATACATGTATAATCACATGTGATCTAGTTACAGGAGCTTAAACTGAAAGAGGTTTAAGCTGGTGCATTTTCTTTCCTGTTTGGGGTGGGCTTGGAGGATGCCTGCAGACAGTCTCAGTGACTAAGCTGATGGATGGTGCTTAAGCCACCATCATTCAATTGGGTTTGGCCATGTGCCTGAGCTCTTATCCACACAGCATGATTTAATTCATCTTAAATTTTCTGACTGTGCACATGCAGATAAGTCCACAGATATCTTCATCATATGCAGCACCCTAACAGAGACAGATGAAGCTGTCTGGTATAATATACATATTTAGATTAAAGTGGGAAGAGAAGTCACTACTTTTTTGAAATGAGACTGCTTAAAGTTGGGTCCTTAAGTCTGTTCTTCAGTATCTCCATAAGCAGCCCTCCATGTAACGGCTCCGAGTACTCTGCAGCTTGCACTGGGGGCAACAGAAGATTTGCCTGATCCAGGACTGAGTAGCAAAATGCTTCTGCTGTGTATTAGGCCCAGGATAGTTCTCCCATGGGCGAGTAAAACTGTCTGGGATTCATCTCTGCAGAGATTTCCCCAGACTTGTTTCTAGTGAGGTGTTTGTTCCCCAAAAGCTGCAGATACCAGTGGGTTCACCAGAAGTAGAAGGTGCTGTGCTCTGCCGAATCTCCCACTTTCCCTAAGTCTCCTTTGTGCACAGTTGCTCCACAGAGCCCCTCCCAAGAAGGGAAAGGGACCCAGCATGCTGGGTCACAGTGCCCCGGGCTGCATGGATCTTTCAACAGCTCCCTTACTGTCTTGGGGCAAAGCTGTGAGCACTCCTCTGCCCTCCCATTCCTGTGGAAGTAGGACCTTTGGACCCTCTAAACAATGCAGCATCCTTTCCATGCTCCAGAGCTAGGACTCATAGAATCATAGAATCATAGAATCATTAAGGTTGGAAAAGACCTCTAAGATCATCAAGTCCAACCGTCGACCCAACACCACCATGCCCACTAAACCATGTCCCTAAGCGCCGCATCTACACGTCTTTTAAATACCTCCAGGGATAGTGACTCCACCACTTCCCTGGGCAGCCTGGTCCAATGTTTAACCACTCTTTCAGTAAAGAAATTTTTCCTCACATCCAATCTAAACCTCCCCTGGCACAACTTGAGGCCATTTCCTCTCGTCCTATCGCTTGTTACTTGGGACTCCACCAAGGTTTTGTGTCCTCCTGCAGTTGTAAAGAAGGGATTCTGCCCTCAGTTGCAAAAAAAGAGGCTTTAGTTGAAGTTTTCTGAGGGGAAACTGGTAATTGCTCTCACAGCTGGTAGAAGGGTGGGACCACCAATGCAGTCAGGGCTGTTGCTATCGTTGCAGTTTCCACAGGTGCATTCATGTCCCACTGACTGTAGTCAATCTGTTTTTCCTTGAAGTTTTGTGAAATGGTGTCTACTCCAGAGATGAGTCGCTGGGCTGGGCCGATCATCGATGTTCTCCTGGATTATGTGGGTAACGTGCAGCTCTGTTCCCGGCTCAAGGAGCATATTGACAGCTATGAGGACTGGGCTATCATTAAAGAAAAAGCAGGTATGGTCACCCAGGAGAGAATCTTGCACAAATAGTCCCACTATTGGATTCAAAACTTCAGTTACCATCTCCTCTTAGTATTCATCCCTTAAACTTGATAGGATTTCCCTACTGAGACTGAATTACATTTTGGTCCAGGTATGAGGCACTAGAAATTGTGGGGGTGTCATTGACTCTGTGATGTTAAATGTACAGCAGCTGTGAATCTGACCCACTGGGAATGAGCATTGCTAGTGCAGGAAGACCCATTTGGCTGCAGCTGGGGTGCAGTCAAATCAGGGCAGGCAGGCAGCGTGACCATCTCCACAGCAGCCCAGCAGGCACCAGTGGCCTTTAAAGCCTTTACTAATATTCTGCTCTCCTAAACATCCTTTCCCTCAGGATCCAAAGTCTTTCATAGACATTATCAAAATAAGTTTTCTGGCACCAAGCTAAATTTGGTACATACTACACTTATTTTCAGTGGGAAGACTGAGTACTGTGAAGCAGCTTGTTTAAATCCCCCTAGAAAGCCCATTGCTAAGGCTGAGAGGGGATACAGCACCCCATCCTCCAGCCCCTCTTCCTTCCCTGTGTCGTGCCTCAGAACAGATGAGCTGCCACCAATGCCAGGCACATCATCCCTCCATTTCAGAAAAGCCCCCTTTTTTCATTCCTCCTTCTCCCATTTTCCTCTTGCCACTGACCTGGCCAAGCTGAGCTGTCCCTCTCAAGTTCAAACCTGTTCTGCTCATGTTTCTGACCTGCCTGTCTTTCAGAGCCCCCACGACCTCTTTCCCATCTTTGCCGCATCAAGGTACGAAGCCTGGTTGGAAGAAACCGCATTAAACTTCTTGACACCTTGCCTCTCCCGCACAGACTGATTCGATACTTACAGCATGATTACACACAGTGACCCCAGGCACACACCGGACACGCAGCGGCTTCCCGGCATGGCACGCAGAGTCATCGACATAGCGAGGGCACACATCGTGCACAGTGGGGAGGAATTGCTGCTGGCTTGGTCAAGCGCCTTCCAATGACTAATTAAGAGAAATATGCTTCTGAAGCATGAGTGAGAAGAAAATGGAGGAGACGGAGAGCTAAACATAGGACTGTTGTTAGGTTTTCCAAGAGAAAACACGTATGATTCACCTCAGAGCTTGGGCTCCAAAGAACAAGAAATGAAAGCCAACACTGAAAAATGAATAGTGCTGAAGCAAGTATCAGTGAGGAATTCAAAGGTATCCTGGGGTTGTGGTGGAGCTTAGCGTCCTCGCTGTGATCACAATTCAGAAATTGTTAAGAGTCAACATATTTGGGAAAACAATTATATTTCCTTCACTGACTGAGATTTTTATTTTAGTTTCTAGTCTACTTTTTGGATTTCTGCTAAGTGTGCTGGTTGCTAATTTCTGATAACTTGACACCATCTTGCTAACACTTTTGCTTTCATTTTTTGGACCTTTCTTATTGTGTAGAGTATTTGTTTTCTGAACATTCAAAGCTCAGAACTTTTTAATAGACTAAAATCCAGAAATGCTGATTCCTTTAAAATTCAAGGCAAGGTTTATTTAAAAATTATGTAAGAATTGTATTTGCACATAGTAAATACAGTTCATGTTGTATTACATTTGCAATAAGAAGTAGGTGAAATTCTGCTTGAGAGAATTTCCTAGACTGGGGATTTGAAAGCAATTCTGAGCTCTTTTTTTTTTTTTTTTTTTTTTTTTGTGT